TACTACGAAACCCTAACTGGACGCTGTTGCCTGCAGTAGGCTCTGGGCCCAGGCCCGTGGAGGTGTATTAAAGACCTACTAGTACCAAGTTAATATGTTCTCTTTGACCTAGTAAGAAGAACTGACAAATAAATCGAAAAGGGGTACCTTCCTTTTCACTTGATTTGATGTCAGTCAATGCCATGTCTTGGTAGTTCTTAACATAATCTCTGTTATCAGCACAGGTAAGAGTGCTACCCTTTGGAAAACATTGCCTTAGGGCAGGGGTCCTCAAACTACGGCCCATGGGCCACATGCGGCCCGCCAAGGACATTTATCCGGCCCGCCGGGTATTTTTGCCGCCGCTGCCAGTCCTGCTTAGCACCCGACTTGTCCCGGGCCCACAGTGCGCATGTGTGGAATGTGCACTGCACTCTCCAATGGCCTGAGGGACAGTGAACTGGCCCCCTGTTTAAAAAGTTTGAGGACCCCTGCCTTAGGACAAGAAGAGCCTCTTGGTGGGCAGATATGCCCGGGTTCTTGAATCCACAAAGAATTTCACTTCTCCATCTCATGCCTTCCTGAGAGTGCTCACCTGACAACAGGATTTCAACGACTCCTGCCTGGGCACCCGATTGGCCTCCCATCAGAAGCAGAAACAATGTGTTGCAAATGGAGACGATATAGTCTTTAAGAAATATATCTCACGGTAACTTTGATCACGTATTCTCTTGGTTTTCTATGTTAAAAACCGGGCGAGGTGGCTCACGCCTATAATCCTGGCACTCTGGGAGGCCGAGGCAGGAGTTGAGACCAGCCTGAGCAAGAGCAAGACTTCATCTCTACTAAAAAAAAAAAAAAAAGAAATAAATTAGCTGACAACTAAAAAAAAAAAAAATATATATATATATATGAATAAAATTAGCCAGGTGTGGTGGCTCACGCCTGTAGTCCCAGCTACTCGGGAGGCTGAGGCAGGAGGATCGCTTGAGCCCAGGAGTTGGAGGTTGCTGTGAGCTAGGCTGACATCACAGCACTGTAGCCTGGGGAACAAAGCAAGACTCTGTCTCAAAAAAAAAAAAAAAAAAAAAAAACACAAACAAACAAAAAACCACAACTTAGGCGAGAAAGACAACAGAATTGAAAGGATACATAGTCTGCTTGAAAATGATTCACGTATAGCAAACAGACGGATAAAAAGAAGGACAATTGTTGGGGCCACAATATAGCTCAGAGCATAAGAGGTGGCCTCTACCTACCACACACACCATTTTTTCCCAACCACAAAGTATATTTCACTCATGAACACAGGACGCTTAAATTATGCAACCGATCCAATATGACCATGTTGGGCAAGGCTCTGGTTATACGTGAAGAGGCGGCACTGATTGATAAAGGACATGAGGGACGTCCAATGTCTGATTCTACACATTCGCATTCTAAAGAACATGCTCTTGGACAAAGTGGGTTATGTAATGCACTGCTAGATTTGCAACTATACTTGGGGAAAAAAAAGACAACAGCCAAGTTCCCTGCAGACACGTGACAGGGCAAGATGTGATGGTCCCAGTTGCTGGGTGATGTGTGAGTAATAAATGAAACAAGCTTGAATGGAATTTCCGTTTTAGAATCTATAAATTGAAGCACGGGCATCAGCTAGCTGTGAGAATAGTGGAAGACGAGATTCAGAAGATGAATAGGGCAGGCCAAGGGCTCAACTTGTCAGATGATGAAGTGGAGTTACTAGGACACGTTAAAGATAACCCCCCCAAAAGGGTACTTTTCGGGATAATCACAAGCAAGTAGCAGAGATGACAGCTGGTGATTAGCAAGGGGACAAATTGTAAGTGGGATGGGGGATGGCGTGGGGGTGGAGAAAGATGGGAAGAAATGAAAGCTCCCGAGAAAAGATGGAAAGCTTTCTGAGTAATTCCAAACTCGGGAGGCAGGGAGAAAATGGCCCTGCACAGACAGGCTCGTTCATCCTACCAGATAAAATCGGAGGCAGAGCAAAACTACCAGGACTGAACTATGACAAAGATGAGTACTGGGAAGAGAATTGTAGGTTTAGAAGGAGGATTGGTAAAGGGTATAAGGAGAATCTATATACAAAGGATCAAGGAAGGGACAGGAAGAAACAGGAGTGCTGCCAGATTTCAAACTCTGGGTGTATCCCCTAGGCACACTATAGAAATGGCAAACAGAGTGCTCAGACCCCTTCCCCTCCATGGCAGACATGACAAGTCGATCTTGGCACTATCGTCCTCTGAATACAGATTTGGCCTCGGAACACTTTTTTTTTTTTTTTGTAGAGTCTCACTCTGTTGCCCAGGCTAGAGTGCTGTGGCATTGCCTAGCTCATAGCAACCTCCAACTCCTGGGCTCAAGCGATCCTCCTGCCTCAGCCTCCCCAGTAGCTGGGACTACAGGCATGAGCCACCGTGCCCGCCTAATTTTTTTTTCTATATACTTTTCAGTTGTCCAGCTAATTTCTTTCTATTTTTTTTTTTTTTAGTAGAGACGGGGTCTCGCTTTTGCTCAGGCTGGTCTCGAACTCCTGATCTCAAGTGATCCACCCACTCAGCCTCCCAGAGTGCTAGGATTACAGGCGTGAGCCACCGCGCCCGGCTCTCAGAACTCTTTTCAATACAGCACTCTAGGTAGTCACTACCGACAGATTTGACTTGACCACGGCCATGAACCCTGCATTCTTAAGGTATTGAAGAACAAACAAATCAACAAACCCCCTGTGGGGCTTTGGTAATATTCACTCCACTGATTGAAGGGGAAGCAAAAAGTCTATTTCTGGCTAGAAAAGCAAAATGTTTCAGTGTAAGATGCTTATATGTATGAACATCATAATCCACATGTATAGCTATATATATATGAAATATATATATATGAATATATATATGAAAATATATATATATTCATATATATATGAAATGAGTATTTCAAGTAGGTAGACCCAAACAGTGTATAATTATTTATAATCTGAACTTTTGTTTTAATCATTCATCATGATTAAAAATCAACTCATCATTTTCCCTGGCAACTAAAACCTTTACACCAAATAAAATGATAGAAAATACGTTTGGAGTTAAAATAGCTCATAGGAAACAACGGGCTGTTGGAATGATCAGAACCTTCTCCTTCCTTCCCTATCTGATCGCACCACATTGGGGGCCCAGTGTCTTAAAAGGCAGGCAGAGACACCAACTAGGTCGTTCTTCCTCCGTACACCACACGTTTTCAAAAAAGCACATGCAAATAGTGCAGCAGAACAGAATAGCATTGAAAATGATCAGACTGTTTGAGGAAAACTTGGGATTTCATCAATGGCAGCAAAAAAAAAAAAAAAAAGAAACTGCATTTATTGTCAGTTTGAAACTAAGTTGTAAAAAACGGGACAGAGGGTGGCATGTGACAAAGTGCATTGGTTTCCGTTTCTGCCCCACACATGCTCGTTAATTTCGCCCAGCCTCTGAGCATCTGAGGCTTTTGCCTATTCATGCAAAGAGCCACTTGAAGGCACACAATGCCCTCAGATTTTTCTCTAGCCCGGGAAACGTTCAGGGCTTTCTTTGAACTATTTTGTTCGAGCATCCTGGTAAAGTTATTCATGTCCTGCCAAATATCTCAGAACGCTCTGGCTGGGGAGGGGTGGCAAGCTGCTATTGGGGGTCAGCCTTTTGTGCGAATCAACACCAACACAGAGAGATGCTCGTTAGTCCAGACTGGCTTGACTGAGACAGAAAAGCAAGGGAGCGAGGTCGTGGGCAGGGAGGGAGGGGGGAAGTGATCTCCCAAGAATCTTCGAGGCCTGAGAGTCTACTGACAAGAATGAATGAACCGTCATTGTTCCTGTGGACCAGGGGTCCTCAAACTTTTTAAACAGGGGGCCAGGTCACTGTCCCTCAGACCGTTGGAGAGTGAGCACTGTGGGCCTGGGACGAGCCGGCTGCTAAGCAGGACAGGCAGCGGCGGCAAAAACATCCGGCGGGCCGGATACATGTCCTTGGTGGGCCACATGTGGCCCAGGGGGCCGTAGTTTGAGGACGCCTAGTGTGGACCATTGAGACAGGATCCTCGCTCTGCCCCTGCTGGCCCCTCCGGCCCCCTTCGCTGCAGCCCGAGAGATCTTTTCTAAACACGTCTCTGATCCTGTCCCCGCATGGCCTAACAAGGACCTCATGGTAGCGGCACCTGCCTCCTCTCTGGCAGTGTGTGGCACCCCCTTGTCCTCTGAACCCCAGCCCCCACTGGCCTTCTTTGAATTCCTCCTTCTCGCAGGGCTGTTGGTGACCAAGGACATTCGCCCAAGCTATTCACTCTGCCTCGAACGCCCTCCACGCCCACCCCCGTCCCTCAACGTTCGTAGCATGAGCTCGACTATCTCACGTGTCCTGAGGAAGTCCTGTCCTGCATCCGCCCCCAGGAACTGCCCCACTCCCTCCTTCCCACCCGGCTCCTCTCAAAGCACTCCTTCTCTGCCACCGTTTCTATCTCTATAATCGTGTATTTGCATCGTTACTTTCCCGATGCCCCCACTAGACCGTGAGCCCTGCGGGGCTGGGGCTACAGCAGTGGCTTGTGCACAGATGCTGTGCAAAGATACCTCGTCTACACACGCAGTCAGCATTCGACAAAACCGGGTTGACCCTCCTGAGTTCATGCGTTCTCGCCCACGTAACCTAGTGTGTTCCTAAACAAGGCACGCAGAGAAAAGTTTCGAAACAAATATCTTATACCGTGAGCCAAATATTATTTTAAACACGTCATAAAGCAGATTTATGTCAGACTCTCCTGCGACATCATACGGAAGGATGGAAGTTGTGACTAAACGCTCTAAGGTGAATACCTAAAGAAAACGCAGGCAAGTCATGTGTTTTGGAAAATAAACAAGGCATAGGTCTTCTAGGGTCTTCTGGGGAAAGCCAGACATTTACTCTGGGGTTGCCCAAAAGGGGAACGGACGACAGCAGCCCCTGCACGACGAGCCTCGGAGAGGCATGACTTACGTTGGCTTGGACGCCTCGGCCTGGTCGGTCTGCAGCTTCTCCCCGCCTTCCACCTCCATGGTGCAATACACGATGCGGTTCGGAGCCAAGGATTTGAGGCCCTGGACCTCCATGATCACCACCTGCAAACAGAACCACACATCGCAGAGGTCACTGGCAGTGCCGCCAGGAGGAAAATGCACAGATGAGAAGAGGGGACGGAGAAAGCCACAGGGTGCCCTGATGGCTTCTGGAGGGGCGTCTGCCAGCCATGCTGGGACCAGTCTAGCAGCAAGAAGATGTGATGCCGCACGGTGTCACTTATTGCCTGGCGGGTGGAAAGACAAAGCTCGCTAATTTGGGTGCTCGCAGGGGCCAGATATGCAGCACCAATGGGCTACTGTCTTCATGTTAAATAAATAAGCTCATTTTGTCATTTCCACCAAAAAATAGACTCTCTCCTGCTATTTTCCTTTTCTTTTTCTTTTTTTTTTTTTTTTGAGACAGAGTCTCGCTTTGTTGCCCAGGCTAGAGTGAGTGCCATGGCGTCAGCCTAGCTCACAGCAACCTCAAACTCCTAAGGCTCAAGCTATCCTCCTGCCTCAGCCTCCCGAGTAGCTGGGACTACAGGCATGCACCACCATGCTCGGCTAATTTTTTCTATATACATTAGTTGCCCAATTAATTTCTTTCTATTTATAGTAGAGACGGGGTCTCGCTCTTGCTCAGGCTGGATTCAAATTCCTGACCTCGAGCGATCCGCCCACCTCGGCCTCCCAGAGTGAGCCTCCGCGCCCGGCCTCTCCTGCTATTTTCTTTAAAAGCAGTCTAATCGTGTGCAAGGTGGCAGTCCAGTTCACCTTGTCAATCCTCATGGTTGTAGTTACCGCTTATGCCCTTTTTCACCTGATAAGTTGTCCCTTCCGTCTAAAACACGGCCCCAGTTCAGCAGGAAGTAGCTCAACGACCATATGGCCTCTTCTTCCCACAGATACGGAAGGGTGAAATTGGCAGCGGGGAATATGTCACAGAGAGAATGGCCTGAACAAGGGTAAAAATGTTTCCTGTCTCTTCAAAACCCCTCACCCTTTTTGAGAACTGAAACCTGCATCCCTGCTTCAGGCCAGTGGTTGGGAAGGGCAGAAGAGAGTCCTTTGTTCTTTGTGCCACAGGAGGTGCCTCAGGGGAATTGCCTGGGGTCAGGAGACTGTCTTGGCTGAGGATGGGATTGATCAGAACCTTAAAGAGCTCTGTGCTTCTGCTCAGAAGCAGGACGTTGGTACTTTGAGGTGGGAGTCTGCCAACCTCCTTGTTTGCCAACAAATTAATACACTTCTCTTTCCTTCTCCTCAAAATAAAAATAATAAAAAAAAAACAGAAAATAAAAGTAGTCTAGCTTTTGGTTTAGCACTTAACAGAGACACGGGCTCATGAATTCACTTTTCTCTTTGCAGTAAGAAAAGCAACAGTGCCAGTCCTAGGACAAAGGGCACGTGCCATTCAGCACTGGAGTCACAGAGGCGACAGGGAGTGGTGGGGATTGTGGAAAACCGGAAAGCACGTGCTCCACCTGGAGGGAACAGTTGCCAGTGGCAACCCATGGCTGCCTTGCCTTGCCCCGGGGCTGGAGTTACCATATACCCCATTTTTTTCCTACTATAAAATGGAAATCTGAATCAGAATCCGCAGTCAGAAATCTGATTTTGAAATGCTGACAATCATCCAAATAGGGAGGAACACAATACGCAAATTCCGTGCAGGCCAACATTGTTGAGTCAAAACACAATCATGTCTGCAGCTGCATAGTCTGTGGTCTAGACTGAGATAAAGGCTGGTGTCATGGTGCACCACGACGTATCAGTCTCAATTTCTGTCACTTCCCACCACTGCCCCAAACTCCATTCCATCACCTGCTATTCTGCTCTTTAGTGGTAATGCCTTGTCGAGAGGGGAAGGGAGGAGAGGGGAGAGGAGGAGAGGGGAGGGGAAGGAGGAGGAGGGGGAGGAGGGAAGGAAGGAAGATTAGAGCAGAGACAGATGAAATGGACAAGAAGAAAACAATAGAGGAAAATCAATGCGCGAAAGCAAAAGCTGGTTTCTCTGAAAAGTCCAACAAAAACTGACAACCCTTTACCAAAACTGACCGAGAAAAAAAACAAAAAAAATCAGAGATGACTCCAGTTACTAAAATCAGAAATGAAAGAGGGGCAAAGAGGTAATGGCATTCCACAAGGAGGAGAACATGCATATGCAAAACACATATACTTTTTTAATGGGCTTGATTCAAGGAAGCACAATAGGGCTTCCCAGCACTGAGCCAGGATTCAGCAAGTCATGGGTTGGCTGCCTAACAGCCTCCTGGTTCTCACACCTAAGGTGAGTCAGGATCGCCTGCAGGGCTTGTTAAGCCAGAGCTTGCTGGACTCCACCCCCGGGGCTTCTCATCAGTGGGTCTAGGCAGGAGCCCAGGATTTCCTATTATTTCTAACCATTTCCCAGCTGCTGCTGCTGCTGCTACAGCTTAGATCAGGGGTCCTCAAACTTTTTGAGCAGTGGGACAGTTCACCGTCCCTCAGACCATTGAGGGCCATTGGAGAGTGCGGCACACACTCCATACATGCGCACTGTGGGCCCGGGACGAGTCGGCTGCTAAGCAGGACAGGCAGCGGTGAAAAAAACAACACCCAGTGGGCTGGATAAATGTCCTCGGTGGGCCTCATGTGGCCCGCGGCCGTAGTTTGAGGACGCCTGGCTTAGAGGACCACTCTACTGCTCACGTGATGTTGCTTGGGCCAATGACTTGATGTTGAAATCCCTTTATGTTTGAAAAAAAATCTGCAGGGCCTCAGTTTTCTTATCTATAAAATGGAGACAATAATATGTATCCTGTGGCTGTTGTGTGAAGATTGAAGATATCACAGACATAACTGAAAATTTTTACACCTGGGAGAACCACACCACTGGAAAGCAATGGAAAGAAAGCACAGTGGAAAGAGCAAAGTGTTTGGAATTTGAAATATCTGACTTCAAATCCTGAGCATGTATCTTCACTATCGTGTTTCCCCCAAAATAAGACTTACACATAAAATAAGCCCTGGCAGGATTTCTAAGCATTTGCACAATGGAAATCCTACCCGGAAATTAAGCCCTAGTGCTGGGCGTGGCTATGAAAATGAGCCCTAGTGATGGGCGTGGCTATGAAAATAAGCCCTAGTGATGGGCGTAGCTATGGAAATAAGCCCTAGTGATGGGCGTGGCTATGAAAATAAGCCCTAGTGATGGGCGTGGCTATGAAAATAAGCCCTAGTGATGGGCGTGGCTATGAAAATAAGCCCTAGTGATGGGCGTGGCTACGCAGCGCATCTGCACAACCCACGCATGTCGTGGCGGAGTGGGAAAGAACAAGAGCAGCCCTTCTCATCTGCCCCGTGACAGCTCTAGTGTTCCACACGAGAGATCGGGGCGAGTGGTTCTAAAGGAAATAGAGTCGCAAGACATTCAGGATGGAATTAGGGGTTTGGAGAGTGAGGATGATGTTCCAGAAGAAGACGACTTCAGTCTATTTGAATAAATGTAGATGGTTGTGCTGTACGTAAAAAAAACAAAAAAACAAAAAAACACATCCCCTGAAAATAAGCCCTAGGGTATCTTCTTGAGGAAAAATAAATAGAAGACCTTGTCTTATTTTTGGGGAAACACGGTAGTTGTGTCATCATTTGCAGCTTTCTTGATCTTTCTGAGGCTGCATTTCCATACCTGCAAATAGTTTTAAAGATGGTTGTGAGGATTCACTGGGTTAACCCTTTGCGCTCGGATGCTGAGTGTGGATAATGTCGAGTGGATAATGAGAAAAAAGCAAGCGAGTGCAAAGGGTTAATGATGACAAAGCACGAAGCCCACAGTGGCATTCTACAAATATCTACTGCTTTGCACCAGCAGGACTCTCCCTGCCCAAGGCCATGCCCCTGGACACCCTTGACCTCAGCTCACATATGTGCAAAGTTAACGACTCTCTGGTGTCCCTCCCAGCCATGCAATTCTGTACTTAATATAAAATTTGCGCCAACTTGCAAATTCAAATTCGCTCTCCCCCTCTACCTGCCTCCGCATGCTGTGACCCCCCAAAACACATTCACAAATAGATGTGCAATGGCTTTTGCTGGCAGGTTTGCTCTGAGGTGCAATTTAGTGTTCTAATTAAAAAGTGTTTGGGAATCCTGTACTCCCACTTACAAGTTAAAGTCGTTTGAATCGTGTAAACATGGGAATACAGCTGGGGACCTGCCCACGTCTATATTTCGGATAATCAACTATAATATTGAATACTAATAAACAATTAGAAAATTACAGATTTAAAAGCTCCATGAATATCAATAAACCTCTTCTTCTCCCTTTCCGCAGGAAGACAAGAGGCAGTAGGGAATAAATTGCCACCTCTAATTGGCAATCATCAAATTCAAAGACACCTAAGAAAATGTGTTCGGTACCTCAGGTGGCAGTATTAAAAAAAAAAAAAAAGAAAGTTTCAGTGAAATTACACTGATGATTTTTTCACACCCCAAATGCGCTATATTTAATTGAATATTCCCTCTTCCAACTGCACAGTACATGTTGAAAACATTGAGTATCTTGCTCTGAACTGAGCAAAGAAAAACAAATTACCTGCAGTTAATTCACAGCAGGCCTGAATCATGGTGTAGAAAATTAATGCAATCTGTACACATTCTAATTAAATGTACAGAAATGGGATCTCTTCTCTTGGTCTCCCCAAATCTAGGGTCTTCATAAAGTCCTTGTGGGGTTCTGAGCTTTAATAAGTTATAAGTGGCTCTCAAACTTTGGAGTGCATAAGAAGCATTGTACCTGCAGAACTTGTTAACGTACTCATTCCAGGGCTGCACCTTGCCTATGCTTTCTTGTTTTCTCTGACAACTTTATGCAGGTTATGTTTTACATATCATATAATTAACCCATTTCAGGTGTAAATTCAGTGATTTTTGGTAAATTTACCAAGTTGTGTGAATTAGTACACATAATATATTAGTCATCATAAATTAGTTTGAGAACATGTTTATCTTCCCCAGGAAAATCCCTTATGCCCATTCCTACCCCCTGCTCCAGACCCCATTAATCTGATTTGTCTTCAGGACATTTCATATCAATGGAATGAAACAATATGTGGTCTCTAGTGTCTGGCTTCTTTCCCTAAGCATCATATTTTTGAGGTTCATCCACATCATAGCATGGATCAGTCGTTTGTCCCTTTTAATCGCCGAATTGTATTTCACTGTATGGCTATACCACACGTTGTCTATCCATTCGCCAGTCGATAGACACTTAGGTTGTTTCCATTTTTGGCTCTTATGAATCACGCTGCTCTCAATATTTGCAATCAAGTCTTGTGGAGACATATGTTTTGGGGCGGATATCTAAGAGTGGAGTTGTGTCGTATGGCAGTTTTATGTTTAACTTTTTGAGAAAAAAATGCTAACCTCTTTTCCAAAGTGGCTGCACCATTTTATATTCCCATGCCTTAGAGATTCTGGTTCAGTAGGTCTGGGTGGTACCCAGGAATCTGCATTCTGAACCAGCATCCCAAGGTAATTCTGATGTAGGTCGATCAGATTGTTAAGCATTCTGCCACAACATTGGCCGGAATGGGTCCTTATGAAACTTTGGGTGCTGAGATAAACTCAAAAAGTTTATACCACAACGAGCAGCTCTCTACCACGTAAGCCCGCAGGAAAGACAATGGGAAAGAAAATTTACGACTCACCACAGAATCCTGCCAGATTGCCTCTCTCCTGACTGCAACACAGGTTGCCAACATTTTAAGCTTTCTACGTTGCATAAGGCCCTTGCAAAATCCTTGAGCACTGCTTTAAGCCAGGGAAAGTAATGCAAGATCAAATTTAGTGGGTGGTTCTTAAGATTGTATTTCCTTAAGAAAAATGTGGGTTCGTGGAGATGGGAAATCACTTGCTGATGGGCTGACCTGCGCTTAGCAAGCTGTTGTCGTAATAGCGGTTCCTGCAAGGGGGAAAACAGGCTGATGGTGATGTAGCCAATCACGCATGTCCTGCTTGCTGTGCCAGGGAGCTTTCAAAGGCTTAGGCCAAAGGGGTCCTCAAACTTTGTAAACAGGGGGCCAGTTCACTGTCCCTCAGACCGTTGGAGAGTGCGCACTGTGGGCCCGGGACGAGTCGGCTGCTAAGCAGGACAGGCAGCGGCGGCAAAGACACCAGGCGGGCCGGATAAATGTGCTAGGCCGGCCACATGTGGCCTGTGGGCCGTAGCTTGAGGACGCCTGGTAGGGCTTCTTACCTCCAAGGAGAAAGACAGCACGACGTCCGACTTGGACAGCTGGTTCTCGCTCTCCTCGCCCATGTCGATGATGGAAGCGTTGTGGCTGCGCTTGAGTTTCTGGAGCTTGAATTCCCCACCTTTGGACACGGGCATGCTCTCCAAGTTGGCCATGAGCAAGTTGACGGAGGACTTCAGCTCCTCGATGTATGTGTTTTCCATTTCTTTGGATACGAACTTGGGAAATTTGCGTTCCTTGTGAAGAAAAAGAAAAGCGTAAGCAGAGGAGTAAATAGAGACCTCATTTACACAGAGGGTTTTTGTCTTAGAGCCCAGAGTTAGAGTCACACACACCACTAGCGAAATCCGCCTAGGTTTCATGGCCTTGTGCTGGAAAAACTATTCAGCCTAGTCGAGGAGACAGCTGTGTGCCTTCTAGTAACTTAAAAAAAAATCTAACAGGCCGGGCGCGGTGGCTCACGCCTGTAATCCTAGCACTTTGGGAGGCCGAGGCCGGTGGATCTCAAGGTCGTGATCAAACCGAGCCTGAGCGAACAGCGAGACCCGTCTCTACAAAAAATACCGAAATAGAATAAATGACCCAACAAAATAAGAGTACCGAAACAAAAGCCGGCATCCGGGTGCATGCCGCAGTCGCCACACCGGAGGCAGGCCAGGAGGATCGCTGAGCCTGGAGATTGAGGGATGTGAGCCAGGCTGACACCACGGCACTCATCTACGCTGGCCAACCAAAGTGAGACTCTGTTCAAAAAAAAAAAGAAAAACTCTACCAGCAGAACTACCATGCATGAAACATAACGGCAACCAAAGAGTCAAATAAATTTTTCTATCAGTTATGGTTGCAGCGCCGCAGCCGAGTTTCTCCAGCAAATCGTTGGGAAGAAAAAGGGGGAGTTTTCCAAATCTGGGTTCAGCTTGCGGCGTTCTCCTTTTCAGCCAAAGAGGCAGTCAGGTTCTTTCAAGAGGAAACAGAAAAGACACCCAATGTCTGATCGTTATAGAGATGTACCACATGAATACACAGAAAGGAGCCATTTGAGAGCGTTCGAAAAACATAGTCTGTGCTATCCCCAAAAGAATATATCCAAGAAAAATTTAAAAATAATGAACCGATGAACAGGTGGATAAAAGGCGTAGAGAAAAAGAAGGGAACAGTAGCAGAATGGACGT